GTGGAATATTCTACATGTGGATTGGGAATCTGGGCACAGTGGGGCAAAGGAGAGAGTCAGAAGTGTTCTCTTGGATACCCGGAAGTGTGGTAATGCAACCAAGGGAAACAGTCAAAGTCTGGCAAGGCTGTGTTTGAATTTATGCGAGTTGAGTTTTTGGTGGTGGAGATACATCTCAATAGGTTCACGAGGCAACTGGTAACTGGGTTTCAGAGCAGCGTCTCTCAAACTCTGGCTTACATACCACATATATCAGAATCACTTGTGTGCTGGTGAAATGGAACTTCCTAGGTTCCTCTCCAAATCAACTGAGCCAGAAACTCCCAGGGGACCCAGGAATCTGTATTTTAACAGGCGTTCTAGGCGATACTCATGGGTCACTGGATGAGAAACTGAGGGGCAAATTCAAGAGCCACAAAGGTTAAAAGTTCTCAGAGGGGAAGAGTATATGAAGAGAAGTGTGAGATCCAAACTCACACTGAAGAGGCAGGTCGGGGGAAGAAGTTTGGGAAAATAGAGGAGCAGCATTTAGAGACAGGAGGGACCACGACTGTGCAAAGAAGAAAGGGAGACGAGCTGTCATTTAACTTTGAGGACATAGAAGGAACTGTTCAGTTGAGGGATGAAGACAAATGTAAGACACATTTAGAGAGTTAGGAGTGAGTGAGTAGTGACAAAATGTAGACCCTGAAAATGAAGATTGAAATAAGATGGCGGTATGAAGGAGCTTCATCGCAAAAGATGGTTCGTCCAGATAAGGAAAACCTGTGCTTGTGGGAAGGCCCTTTAGAGTCACGTCCTTACAGGAGGCAGATGCCACATTAGGCCAAGTAGGGTAGCTCGGGGTGGGCAGGGACCCGTGTTTGTACCCCGTCCCACATTGTCCTTTCGGTAGAATTCCTGTGGGGCAGAGATAAGGGAATTGTTCTCCATCATCTTTAATACTTTGGTGATGACTGATGGAAACTACCTTCAAGGACAAGAGATATTTTCCACTTATTCCAAAGGTGTCTATGTAGGCTAAAAATGGCTCCCCCAAAGATAGCCACATCCTAATTCCTGGATCCTGTGAATGTTACCTTATATGATTAAAAAAAGGGTCTTTCCAGATGTGATTTAGTTAAGGATCTAGAGATGGGAGAGTATCCTGGATTATCTAGGTGGTCCCTAAATGCAATCCTGTGTGTCCATATATGAGAGATACCACGGGTGATTTCACACACTCACACACAGACACACAGACACACAGACACACAGACACACACACACACAGAAGAGAGGAGGAGGTGGTATGACCATGGATGCAGAGGCTGGAGTGATGCGGCCCCAGCTAGGGAATTCCAAATGTGTCCAGAAGCTGCAAGAGGAAAGAACAGATTCTCCCCTGGAGCCTCTGGCCCTGCTGATGCCTTGATTTCAGACCACTGAAAATGACTTTGGACTTCTGGCCTCCAGAGCTGTAAGAAAATAAATGTGTGTTGTTTTAAGCCACCAAGTTTGTGGTAATTTGTGATAGCAGCCGTAGAAAACTAATACAGTGTCCCAGCTGGGAAGGGTTACGAGATGTACAAAGAAAGGATTCTTTTTTTATGTACCTCCAGCCCAGCACCACCTTTATTTCTGGATGGGTTAACAATAACATCCTTGACAAAGGCACTTTCATCCACTCTGTTCCTCCCCGTCTTCTTGACAGTTTGGAAGGAACTAAAGCACTTTGCTTTTCCCACAGTGACTAATGGGGCTTGCTGTGCTATTAGAGTGGTGTTTTACTGGACTTTTTTTGGGTAAATTGTGGAACTCATTATTGTAATACTTGAACAAATTTAAACATCTAACTCACTCTCCTCTTTTATTCCTTTCTCCCTGTGTGACTAACTGTAGATACTGCATAATGAAACCAAATAAACTCCATGAAGTGTGTAATGCCTACTTAATTTTGTCCCTATTCTCTAAATCAAGTACTTCTCTTCTCTTTCTGACTAGAGTCAGTCATTTAACACACACAATAATACTCATTTGTCCACATTTAGTTACCTGGAGTTAATATAGATGGAGCTCAAGTCCAGTTAGATTGTCAGGGCACTTGGTGACTAATGGAAGCCATATTTATATTATTTATACATATTGCAGTGATGGGTCCTTGCCTTCTTGGAGAGTTTTCTCTAAGAAGGAAACAAGGAAACACCAAAGTGATTATAGAGATATAGGTATACACACACACACACATATATACTACCAGAAAATAAGAGAGACAGGTAACAAATGACATTTAGTTTTTTTTCCTTAGGCTGCCAATGTGTGGTAAATTCATTGTCTTGTAGATAAGAACAATTTGGATTGAAAGTCAACTGGTTTAAAAAGCTCAAGTTAGCCTTTAAAAAGATTGGTGTGTCTTATTTTCTTTGTACCTCTAGTATATAGTAGTACAGTACACTATACTGTATGATAGTATATGAAATATACTACAATACTTCATATGTAGTATTTTCTATCTATGAAACAAAGTAGAAAAAATAAATAATTGAATGAAAATAAAGCAGAGCAATATTTAGTTGTTTCATACTAAATATCATGCAGATCAAATTAACTACTATTTCTTGGAGATTAACAGCCCTATTTTTAAAACATCTTAACCAATGATCTTAATTGACTTGAGATATTTTTGAGGTTCTCTTTTGCCGTGATCCTTTCTCTTTTGATGCCATTTTGTGATATACCTGGCCGAAACCAAATTAGACTGAAGTCTTGTCTATGTTTTATGCAAGCCCATTCTTACAAGCTCACCCGTTTGATTTTAATGGTTGGAAAGGCTGGAATTATGAGTTAGGAAGAAGAAACTGTCTGAGTATTCGTGCATTCAGCCCTGAGCCCTTTTAAATTTACTCATCACTATTCAGGAAGCATAATTCATGTCGCCATCAAGAAAGCAATTGCTAGGATAAATTTTCCAAAAATGTGGGGGGAAAAAACCCTAAAATGAATGTGTGTCTAAGGACTCCATATGCTTAAATCACAAGGCTCCATTTTTCTCTGATTACCTTTGTATTTCCAAAGCCAAAGTAACTCACCAAGTAAAAATGGTCTTCGAGCTTTCTCAGTCTGATTTAGAGAGCAGTTTCTCTTTTTGAATCTCTCAAGTGGTCTCTCCAGATTTGCCTCACAAACCTGTGACTTCTCTTCCCCTCCTGCTCCACTCTGAATGGACCCATGCTGTAAACTGACTCCTGTGATTGGACTCCTGTGGACCTCAGGTAGCTCTTTGGTTATGATTTCAGGCTCTCAAACCAGAAATGCTTCCGGCTTGGTTCACCCTTTCTGCGTAAACTGTAGCACTAATAATGTTAGAGAAGTAATGATAGAGAGTGGGTGCCCACTCTCCCTGTGGTATATCGCAGTTAAAAACTAGCAACAAAGTAGGCGACCACTAATGATAAGGTGCCATAAATGAAAGAAATATTCCCTTCCTTGAAGAAGAATATTACTGGAGGGCCTCATCCAGCATATCTGCAACCGAATGTGAAATGTAGAGTTACTATGTGATTGAACTGACTCTGTGACGTGGGAAAGGCCACGGGCCCTCATATTTGTTGGGCCTAGAACAAGAAGACACAAGGAGGCTCTCAGTCCACCTCCCTTCTCTTCCCACTTTTGACTCCCTCTGAAACCTTGAGGGTCTTTGCATACGTGATGGAGGACACCCCACCCTGCAGTTGTTAAGCTCCCTTTACATTCCTCCACCCAAACAGCTGCTCTCTGGCCCCCCCTCAGGTGGCCCAGTGCATCATCCTGAGTACAAGTATGAGAAAAGGCCCTCACAAGCCCCTCAGACAAGTGACAGTCTTATTAGCAGGAAATTCTAGGCTCCCGGGTATGGACAGCATGGTCTAGAAGGGGGCAGGGGGCACAGGCTCCGCTGGGCTGTCCTTTTGGATCCACAGGTTATTTCCCTTGCAGGGATGTTCCAGCTGGAAGGGTGGCAAATCCGGGGCCTCTAAATATCCAGGGCTTAGGGCAGGCCCCGAGTTGCCAGCACTGGAAGGATCATTTTGTTCTCGACTAACCTGCAGATGTATTTCCTTCATAATTCATAACTCCTCCTCTATCCTATTTTTTCCTTTTCTCTCCCTTCCCTCCCTCCTTCCTTCCCTCTTACTCTCTTTCTCTGTGTCATTATTCTTCAGTGCTGGCTCTCCCTCTTCATTCCATGAATATCTAACACTATCTTGTTTTAGAATCCTGCAGTTTGGATGAATACAGATGGCCTAGTTTTAGCTCTTTCTCACGAATGTGCAGCTCTAGAGTTTTCGTATTCAGTCAGCGGCCCAGGTGAACCACGGAACAGACGGAAGTCAGCTGGTGTAGTCTGGAGACATTTTCCCAACATGCCCCACAAGACATTCCTTTTGGTCTTTAGTTTCCAAGTTGGATGAACCTAGACTCTCCCATCTTCCATGTTGCCTTTTGTTATTAATAAACTTCCTTTTTATTGGTTCAGTCTCTAATGGCAGCTAATCTGCTTGACAACATGCAGACACTGGGCCTATACATTTTTAGGGGTAGACAATTTAAAATGTGTGGTGGTAGATATGTAAAGTATTTTACTTTATTGAGATGATAAAAGTGATAAGGAGGCAGAATTTCTATATCACAAAATAATAAAGGGTTTAACTTCTAAATACTCTCAGTATGGTATTAAACCATGAGGTGGCATAAGGCCAGGATATATTGGGAGAAGCAAAAACAAAGCACAGACTGCATATTTTGGCATTTTTCTCATTAAGAATGTATTATAAAGAAATATTGTAACTTTTAGACGCTATGTTATTCAAACTCTTTAGACCTGTGCTGACAGAGTAGCCACTAGCCAAACGTGGCTATTGAGTCCTTGAAAGGTAGCTAGTCTGAACTGACATTTGCTATAAGTATAAAAATCACACTAGATTTTGGAGACTTAGTAAGAAAAAAAACAAGCTAAAATATCTCATTAATAATTTTTATATTGTTACATGTTGAAATATTAATACTTCAGATATATTAGATCAAATAAACTATATTATTAATATTAGTGTCACTTGATTCTTTGGAGTTTTTAATGTGGCTACTAGAAAATTTAAAATTACATATAAATTTCCCATTTTCTTTCTCTTGGACAGTGGTGGTGGAGATGCTTCTGGAAGTTGACAGTTGATATCTGTCACATGATATATATATATATATTTAAAATTGGGGGAAAGAGCTGAGAGTTTAGGTGGGGTGGTTTGCATGTTTGCTCCAAAAATTGGTGTCTTTCTGGAGGACAGATGGCCTTTCTCGTTTCCAGATCTTTGTGTGGGCAGTGCCATCTTGTCATTCTCCTCTCAGCTCCAAGGTCACTCCTTCACAGAAGCTTCCCTTAATACTCCAGCTAAAATAGCCTCAAGGCTGCCTTCGCCCGTTACCCAATCATTCTTTCACAGTTTTATTTTCTTTGTAACACTTACCATTACCAGAAATTATCTTGCTTGTTTTCTAGTTTATTTTCTTTCTCCCCTACTAGAATGCAAGTCACATGAAGACAAAGACAGTATCTAAACTGATTATCACTATATCTGAGAAAAGATTAATATCCAAAATATATAAGGAACTCATACAACTCTATAGCAAAAAACAAAGTAATCTGGTTAAAAAATGGGCAAAGGACCTGAGTGGACATGGATGTGTTAGTTAGCTTGATTGTGGTAATCATTTTACAATGTATATGTATATCAAATCATCACATTGTACACCATAAATATGTATACTTTTTATTTGTTAATTATACCTCAATAAAGCTGAGGAAAAATTTTAAGATGTGGGAAATGCTCACAGTATAATGCTAAAAGAGAAAAGAAAGCGAGCCAGCTCTGTGGTCTAGTGATTAAGTTCCATGTGCTCCACTTTGGCGGCCGGGGTTGGGTTCCTGGGTGTGGACCTACACCACTTGTTGGCGCCACCGTGGTGGTGAACCGTGTAAAAAATAGAGGAAGATTGGCACAGATGTTAGCTCAGGGCAAATCTTCCTCAGCAAAAGAAAAGCATAGACTATATATAATGTAATCCTAATTTTGTAGAGGAAAGTCTATGTATAAGTTTAGAAAAAAATATTAGAAATAGATACATCAAAATATTAATAAAAATTCTTATTCTGTATGAAAATAAAACATATAAATTGACTATCACTATATCAGCAGTGCCTAACCTTGACAGTGACCATGGATGCAGAGCAGGTAGTAAAGTCACTCAGTAAATGCCTGCCAGTTGATTTTCTAACTACCTGTGCACTAGATTGTGACTAGACATATTGATGCAACCAAACCCGGAGATAAATTGAAATTTTTAATGTTTCACTTCTTCGAGTGCTTATAAAATTTGCATATTTAAGACCAGGGCTGATAATGTGTTTAATAACTAGACTCAAGTTCTAGGACTGTCTTGGCTCTATCTATGGCTTTGGGCAGATCAATAAAATTTGGAGTTTAGTTTCATCTCTAAAATGAGGGATTTGAATTAGGTGATTGTTCAAATAGTCTCTAGCTCTGAAGTTCCATGTCATGGATTCACCAGAAGCTTGGGTTTCACATTAGCTACTAACTGTCTGAGTCTTTCTCATCTCTTGTTATCAGAGAGGACAGAGCCCTGAGAATATGTATTAAAGTGGGGGAGGAGTTTTGGCTCACTGGTTAATCACTGGGATAATAGAAGGCCAGACTGGGGGATCACACAAAGAAAGGGCTTGAAAGTTCGGGATGCTGTGTGTGAGGGCAGGTTCTAAGGAGGAGCTCTGCTGTCTTCCCACTTATGTTTATGAAGGAACTATGTGTGTATGTGCAGGTGGAAAAATGTGCGTTTTTCCCTCTTGCTTCTATTATATCGTGACATTTTTCCTTTGTATACAGAGGGAGAACAGGACAAATTAGAAATTACCCTTTGCTTTGGACAGTGAACTAAATGGATCATGGCAGGAAATGCATGAAAGACATTTAGGAAGAGAAAAATAGAAAAGAGCTTCAAGGATAAAGTGACAGGTCCTTGAGACTCACCAGGAAGTGCTGTTCAGCTTCAAAGATGACGGCAATACTGCGAAGGGTGCGTGTAAGAGTCTTTTGAGAAGGACAATTTCTCTCAAAATGTGTGGGGATAAATTTCTCTATAGCCCTGAACTTTTGGCACCAGGTGGCCTTCTCCGTATTTCAATTTATTTTTATAGACACTTTCTAATGAAGACCTATTCTCTTTTCTTCACTGTTTATAATGGGTCGTTCAAATATCCGAATGCACAGTGACCAGGCATCCGAATGAGCAATACTCTCAATAACTCTTAAACAAACTCTGCTGATAGGATGCGTAAGCCATTAAAAAAAAAAGGGTTTCCCTAGTTTAGAGGGGATGGGATGGGGTGGGGGGAGTTGCTTCTATTTGGTGAAGTGACAGAGTGGGGCCAGTGGGTGGTTGAGAGTCTAGACAGCTAGTAAGGGAAGAGATAAAACTTTTCAAGTCTTTCATTTATATTGTTTTTCAGTGTTAGAGTTCTTGAAAAGTTCAGGTATAATCACAGCCTTCTGTTGCAACAGGAAGCACCATCTGCTGAAGCATTCTGTAAGCAATATAACATCTCTCCAGAGATAGTTTAGCATTCAATTCACAAAGAAGGATGGCAGGGACTTGTAAACAAAAGGAAACAACTGAAGCGGTGAGGGATGGGCTGTGCTGTAAACATTCAATATGTTTCTTTATAGCTGAGAAACCCTATAATGCTACAAAACCCTGGCAGAATTCTCTGATGGATTAATTGTTTTGTGTGTGCATTTTTTTAAACTTCAGTCTTTGAAAGTGTCTCTTCTAGCACACTTCTAGTTTTTGTTTATGTCGTGATGTTTTTTTCTTTCATGATAAGTCATTTTTCATGGGTTGAGTGGGTTATGAGTGGTGACTGGTGGAAAAAAAAATTAAACCGTTTTATAAATGCTAAACTTCGGATATAGCTATGTGTTTGGGGTAAGGGCACAGCAAAGGCTGGGGGCGTTAGGCACATATAATATGAAATAAATCTTGGCTGAAGAACTCTCCTATTTAAAGCTTTGCTATTTTGTTATAGGGGAAAAAACAAACAGTCCCAAAATTTCTGTAGATACCAAATTATTTGAAAATACTGCGTTCTACCTTAAAGGAAGTTCCTCTGGAAACTAACTTGCATTGTTGAAAGATCAAATGCTTTAGAAAAGTGGTCTAGGTTTTCCTATAGTCCAATTTGTCTCTGATGAAAAGACACAGTGCGGGGGAATTGTTCATACTGCAGAAAGAAAAGACATCAACTTTTTGGTTTAATTCAATTCTTTAAGCAGAGTAGGAGCTCAAAAATTAAGTGTGAATGAATGAATGATTTGGGGGCAAATTTGTATTAATAAAAGCCCTCCAACATTCAGCTCCTTTCGTTAGCTACACAGATCTGGGAGATTTTGATCTTTATTTTCCAAAATATTTTCCAAAAATATTCAATATCTTATTTTATGGTTTTATGGCACAGAAAAATTTACAGTAGCATTGACCATGATTTAAAACCTTAACTTCAGAACCTGCACTATAAATGTCCTGAATTGCAAAATTACAGGAAAAAAAATTTACGTCTCTCCCCTCAAAAACCAAAAGTATAATTCTTGTTGCTGTATCATTATATAAATTAATGATATGGTGTGTTTGTGCATGCACATACATGCACTACACCTCAATAATTGTTTTCTCTGATGGTCTTTATTACCTTGTAGAAATTATATTGTCATAATTAAAACAAGTTTCATTATTTTCCACTTCTACTGCCGTATAATAGATCACCACCGTTTTTGCAGTGGGCCATTAGGCAATACAGATTGGATTGTTTTCCCCTAGATTTGTCACTTTACTGCTTTTAAAAGAATTAATCACCTGTCTTACGGCTTCCCTGGGAACTCTGCTGGCTTCCACTTGGAAGGAGCTCTTTACTTTTTAGAATTACAGAATGTCTGGGGAGGACCCCAGACAACATTCCCCTCCTGATCTGGGTAAAGGAAACTGCAGTTTTGTTTCTAGAGCCGGTGGAGGTGTTCTACGGGCTATTTTGGTTGGCTAGCAGCGCTTTTTAAACAGTTATGGATCTTTTCTGCAACCTTGTGGAGTAAGTGCTATTGGAGACCGACTTGATCCTGGTTTCAAAACAAGCACTTAGCAATTTTGCCTTCCATCCTGCCTGTTTCCTGCATTTGCTGTCTGCCCTCTGTAGGTGTATGCTTGCAACACTTCTGGACTATACGCAGACATGTTTGTCATTTATTACAGAGCAGAGCAGGATTTAGGTGTTTCTTGGTTCCTAATCATGACAGTATGAATTACCAGATATGTATACACACACACACATCCCCAGACGCATACATATGCATTATCCCATGATGTGAACATATAACTTCATTGACATAGCATGTGGTTCATCATAATAACCACTGGTCTTCCTTAAAAATCAATTTCCCTTTTTTAGAAATTTAAAAATATCACATATAAAATAAAATATTACAATCACTTGTGTAATTATGAGAGAAAAGGTTACAGAATAGCATTCTTTCATCCATCCATCCATTCAACATCTTTTGTATGCATGTTGGACATCTATTAGATGTTGGGTATTGAGTTCTGGTACTGTAATGACCTTACAGGAGATCATTGATTTGATATCACTTTGAAGTTTCTGTTGACTAAGGTAACAGGTGATAACACTGACATTGTGTGGCCAAGGGACTGGTCTTTAATCTAGCCTATTATGGCTAGCTTATGTTCTTGGATTCTCTTGTCTAATGGCATTTCCTAGGAGTGGGTCTTTAGGTTAGTTAGTTCCTATGGGTGCGCTCCTAAGGCTAGCTGTCTGATATATCATCTCCAGAACATTGGTCTCACTGAATCCCTTTGCTTTCCCTTGGTGTTCCTTGCCATGAGTAGGGGTCTGAGGGTCCTGACTGTGGGAATGGGAGGGCCCTGTGGTATCTCCTTGTGTAGGAGAGTCATTTCCTGCTTGTAGATTGACTTGCAGAAGGAACTCCACTGGGTGGTGCTCTGACACCTGCTGTGAAAGGCTGTTAAATGTCCCCTTCACCCTAAAGCACTTCTGGTATGGCAGGATAATGGCCCCTAAAGTGTCCACATCCTGATCCTCAAATACTGTGAATATGTCAGCCTGTATTTTGCCCCATCTCTGTGCCTCTCTCACTTTTGATTAAGAAATGGGAATAGTAATACCGTAAATTCCTCAGAATAAAGCTAAGGATCAAAGACCCTTCTAAAACCTCACTGGCTTCTTTGAACACATTTATGCATGCCCTAATCCCTGAAAATGCTGTTAGCTGTGTTCCCAAATCTCAGAACTGCCTCTTGCAGTATTATTGAATTTGGGGACATTCAAAGGCAACTTCTCATACATGCCAAATGATTAGTGACCCAATTACCTGTTGCAGAGATCCTGGCACTTGAGTCTAAGTCTTTTGACTGAGTTGTTGGCGGGTTTGGTGAAAGAATTTTCCATGGTGGTCATTAAAGTCCATGAACAGATTTGGAAGCAACATTAGATTTTGAAAGCAACATTATTTGGAAAACTATGCATTAAACTGCTGATTTAGAAAGAAGGTCTCCAAGTTCTTATTTAGAAATAAAGAAATTGTCCACAGAGATCCAGAAAACAGTTAAATAGAAAGTTTGTTTATTTTCTGAAATCACAACCAATTTTTTAATTAAAAAATATTTATAAAGCCGTATGCCAGGCATCGGAACACCAGGTAAGGTTGGGACTCTTATGATTCCCATTTTGCACATGAGAAAGCTAAGGCATAGAGAGGTTACATAACTTTTCCCTGTGGTCATGCAGCTTGTAATGGCAGAGCTAGGATTTGAACCTAGGCCATCAGGCTTCAGAGAGCATGTTATTAAAATGACATTATACTGCCTCTTAAAGACAAATACCAAGAAGAAAGCCAGTCCAACAGATTTGGCCGTTATCAAAGGTTGACTGCTATGGTCATGGTGGTGGTGGAAGTAGATGAAGGGGAGAGAATTTAAAACACTTGACTGGAGACTTCTGACAAAGAACTACCACTGCTTTAACACCCTAGTGCCCCTGATCCTTCAGCATACTTGCTGGAACTCTCCACAGCAGAATTACCTTCCACAGCTAAATTTTTATTGTCCATCTCCAACATTTGACTCCCTTGAGAATCCTAGTAGAGGATGCTGAGCCGCAACATTCTGTAGAGATTCGTCAACTTAAAAGATGTAGCTATTCAATGACCATGTGCATTTGATGGAATATTTAGCAAAGCTGACATGGTAACCTGAATAAATCAAATAAACAAATGAACAGAAGCTCTTTCAGGTTTCATCAGAGGTAAAATAAATAAATAAAATGAAATTTAAAAATCTGAGGGGCCGGCCTGGTGGCGCAGCAGTTAAGTGCGCGCGCTCCGCTTTGGCGGCCCAGGGTTCGCAGGTTCGGATCCCAGGTGCGCACCGACACACTGCTTGTCAAGCCATGCTGTGGTGGCGTCCCGTATAAAGTAGAGGAAGATGGGCATGGATGTTAGCCCAGGGCCAATCTTCCTCAGCTAAAAAGAGGAGGATTGGCATCTGATGTTAGCTCAGGGCCAATCTTCCTCACACACACACACAAAAAAAACCCTGGTTACTCTCCCCTATGTGCTGTAAAATTCATGCAAGAGGTTTCCAAGAATAACTTGTTAACCCCCCTAAATTGTTTAGTTTTACCCTTTTACTTCTTGTTGGGGCCAGGAGAGTTGTATAGAATCCATTTTCAGAGGCTAGCATGTACTCTGTGGGCTGGCCAGTTGTTGAGCACCAGGAAGCAACAGCCAGAATAACACCTTCTACTTGTATACTGTGTCGCAGTTTATAAGCCACTTTCCCACAGAGTATTTCATTCACACCCACAATAATCCTGGGGTGTAGGAATTATCTTCACCCGACCTATGCACAGCTCAGGCTCAGTGAAGTTCAGAGAGTTGTTGACAGTCATATTAGTCATACACAGGGTGTCTGGCCCTCGAACACGGGTCCACTCATGACAAGCCCAGGGCTCTTTGTACTAGAAGACTGCTGCTCTGATTCTTCCCTTTTCATCTCCAGGGAAAAGTGGCCTGTCTCTCCAGCTCTCTGCAGCTAGAGGAAGTCAGTGTGGTGTTCTTTTATCCCCCCTCTGTGGACCCGACCTACAGTACTCATACCATAAAACAGATTTTAAAGTTTCAGTGCCCCTAGAGCCCAACGCCTCAGGTTCAAGTTTCCTTTTGCAATAGATGACTTGTGGCTGGGGTGCAACTCCAGCCTTGTTCAAGATTTGGTCCATATACTCAGGGCTGACCTGGAATTGTATTGAGCTCAGAAGTAGCAGGGCATACACTTTGAAATCCCATCTACTGCTCTTCTTCTTGTTGAAGGGACAGTTGTGGGTTCCAAAGACCATAATCAAAGGTTCTTTGTTGGAATTTGAGGGTTGATCATATCAATCTTGTTTAATTGCTAGACACTTATATTCTCACGTTGCTACTTGTGCCTTACCTGGGCTGGATGTAGGAGATAAAGTAATGACAAAGATACTTGCTTTCAAGTAGCGCATAATCTAAAACGGGAATCTTACAGGCCTGCTTACCTAGCACGATTACCAGAATTATAACCAAAAAGATTAAACCCGTGTCTAAATTTCTTATCGTGGTTAGGCTTTGCTGAATGTTTTCTGTTTGCCTCTCTGGATCCACTTTCCATCCTTTTTTCCTCCATTCTGTGTCCTTGGGGCTGACAGCTATTGACTGGATCAATGGGCTCCCTTGCTTTCTGGCTTCCAGGTGGGTTTGCCCTTTGGGAGAGAGAGATTAAAGTATTTGTTCCTTTGCATTCCTCCTTGCTGGGCTGTATCCCTCTACCTAAGGCCATAGCTCATTGGGTGACCCAATCATATGGCTATAGCTACTACTTTTTCTTTAGGTTTCTGAATCTCTCCATCCTCAATCTCCTCCAGGGTGATAAGGACTCCCTGCTTTTGCTAGCCATAGAGTATTTCACTATCCTTTGTTAGTTTCCCTTAATCCTGCCTACACCTTTGTAAATATCCCATCATTAAACTTTTCTCCATTATCTCGTTTGAACTTGCCGTCTGTCTCTCAAAGAACTCTGAGTCATTCAAGGCTGTCCATGATCTGGCTCTCAATCCAGGCACATCTATCAATGCATCTCATTCACAGTCTCTACCCTCTCCTCAAAGGACCTCATGATGGAGTCATATTATGAAAGGGCCAACTTGTCAACAAATCCTACCCTGTTCATGGAGACTCACTATCCCACTGCACAGTCAAAATTAAATCTGCCGTCCTCTTTGCTCCTGACACCAAATCAAATGCTGAAGTATTGCTTATTTCATTCAACCATCTCTCCTCTTATTTGCATGCTTGTCTTCCTTATCAGGCCACTCGCTTCCTGAGGCAGGGCCTCCATCTTTCTCACATCTGGAAATCAGTCCATAGTGAGCAGTGACTGTGTGATCATTTGATAAGGAGTGGGCTTGCTTGCAGGATGAACATTCAATCATTTGATGGTTAACAATATAATCTGGGAATAACCTAGACTATTTGCTTTTGTTTTTTTCATCCACCCTTTGCTATGGATGGAAGATTGGAGAAGGGGATTTGAAATGAATCAATTGTGTTTATCATGAACAATTTTGATGAAAGCATAGATTGAGGAGAAGGCTGAAACTTTTCAAGGATGACCATGTTTTTGGGCTCGATATAGAAGATGAAGGGCTCTTTCTTCCATTGACAATGATTTTCAAGTACTAACTCTCCTGTATGAACTCTATAATGTTTGTTTTGTGAGGGGAAATTCGGCTTAGCTTGAATTGGTGGAAATGAAAAGAGTTCAAATGGAACTCTGATTAGAGAGGACTTCCTTTCACCAGCCACTACCTAGTTTCCAGAGAAGACTTCCAGTGTAAGAGACAATGGTTATGGGGCATGCAACAGACTGAAGGGGCCACTAGTCTCTTGGGCCAACACAATTGTGTTGGATCAGGAGTGTTACTTTCCTTCTCATTTCTTTTGCTTGCTTACCAGGCCTGTGCTCCTTCTCAATAAGGTAGGTGCCC